TCATCTTCCATCAGTTGTCCATCAACTTCACTAAGGTACTGGCCAATTTCTAAAGTAATTTTTGTACTTTTGCATTTTAAGGGGGGAAAAATATGTCTCACATACATTACCATTGCCAGGCTACAGTAATACAAGAGAGTTTTTATCCCCTCCCCACCCCCTCTGTTCTTATAGAAGAAGAAAAAAAGATGATGGAATTCATTTACACATACCCACAAGCTTGGCTGGAATGCTCCACAGTTGGCAAATAGGACTGGTTTATGCACCCACTCAGCAGTATTATTTAAGGAGGCAGCCACTGGCTGAAAAGAGATGGGGATACTCGATTTGGCCAAGTACAAAATGCTACTGTTGTACTTGATTTGTAATTCCTGCAATTTTGAGCACCCAGTCCTACTGTTTGTAGGGAATGGAACCTGTTACTTTATATATAGATCAAAAGTGGTGGGTAAGGCAGTCATGATTATTTCTGATCTAATCTTCAACGATCATAAGCCTAAGAGGCAAGTTCCCAAATTTCTTTTTTGTTGTTGTTCATCTTCCTGTGTTTTTTTTTTTTAATTGTAAAGATCTCAAAATTTAGAAGAAAAGCTGATATAGTGCCGCATAGGTACATTTGTTTGCACAGGTGTGCATAAGACTTTCCATAAGCAGCATTATTAAAGAGTTACAATGTTCAGATCTTTAGATTTTTTTCCCCCTGCCTTCTAGCACAATTACAATGAATTTGCTAGGTTATAAATTCCACATGGTGCCTACTTGATTTTATTTTTTGGGCTCTTAAATGTATATTTATGTGTTTTTATTAGATAGATAATCTTATTGCCTTGATTTTCTAATTGTGCTATAAACATTTCATGCACACCTTTGCCCAACTTTTATAGGATATAATTTTCATAGATGAGCATTTATACAGCATTATTTTATTTCTGAATGGAGGTTTCTACATCCTTAATATTTCAATTTAAATGATAATTTTTGAAATTATAAGATCTCCATAAGTTTCAGAAGATTGTTAGAAATCCATAAGATTAAAATACGGTTGAAAGAGCCTAAAACCTTTTGTAGGGAAAGGAAGGTTATGTTAAGCATCTCAAAGAAAGCCATGCAATCTCAGTCCAATAAGAATTGTCAAAGGAACAGTTTTCTGAGTTTTATGCATTTTAAAATAAAATACCTTATGTAAAATTTCTAAACCAGAAAGAATTAAAACCAAACAATTTAACTCTTAAATTTTAGCTTTTTAAATGTAATATGTGCATAAATTATGTATGTTTATGTTTTTACCTTGGTAAAGGTAAAAATTGAATGATATTTTGCAGTAAAGTGGGATATTGTCTCATTAACTTCTTTATGTATAATGCATTTTTCCCTTATAACGATTTGGTATGTTTAATATAAAGAATCCAAAGCAGTTTATATTATCAGATAAAGGGAAGTAATGCATTAGTGCACACAGAGTTCACTCTCAATTTCTGAAGAAAAATTTTGAACTGGGAGCTGTATTCACTGTGATCCACTGTACTATTATGATGACATTGCACTTTTACTTTCTGTTAGAAATATTATCGTTTTTGTGTGAGGGAGAGGAAGGAAAATTGATAGAGAAATAGAAACATTAATGATGAGAGAGTCATTGATCAGCTGCCTCCTGCACACTCCCTACTGGGGATCAAGCCTGCAACCTGGGCATGTGCCCTGACCAGGAATCAAATTATAATCTCTTGGTTCAAAGGTCAATGCTTAACCACTGAGAAACACTGGCCAGGCTAGAAACAGATCCTTTTATATACAAACATCTTTCTGGGATCCCCATGAATTTATTTGGTAGTTCTCTTTTTTCTTTCAGATAATCTATTGTATTCTTTTAGTAAAACATTTATTTTTTTAGATGTGTTTCTGCAGTAGCTGTTAATTTCTTTGCAGATTAATATGACTTCAGTGATACATTTTTCTTCTGTTGAATTTCTAGAGCACATAATTTTTTTTAAATGACTGACTGATTTCCAAGTATAGAATAGAACAATTGATGGGTCTTGACTTCATAGAGAAAAAACATCCTATTGTTGATTCATAATATTAAATTTGTGTTTGTAATAAATTCAGAGGCTGGTCATCAGCCTTTAACCTTTTAAATATCTAATTTGTTTCATTTCTGGATGATAAAGATATTGTCATTTAAACATACCATCTATGAAGTTAATTGTAGCCTTTTGGGACCCATAAGTTCCTTATTTTTTATTTTTGAAAAATTCTTTAGGATGCCAAGGCTCCAGATATTCTTGTACTAGTAAACATGTAGGTGAATAAAAATGATTTACTTTATCTTTTTCATTTTGTAGTAAACATGAACTAAAAAAAAAAAATTAGTAACAGCATATCACTAATATGTTAATGGAAGGCAAAATGGCACTATCAATCCTAAATGTTATCTTTTTTGATATAATGGAATGGAGTACATTTATTGCTCTGAAGACTGCCCGCATCTCCTGCTTTCCTAACACGAGTAGACTTTACCCTGCATGTTGACCATCGCTCTGTGTGTGCCTGATTGATGGTCTCCCTGGTTCCTGGAAATTACAGTTCCTAACACATGCATGTGACTGGGAATAAGATATTCAGCATAATAGCAGAAATTGCTTTTAGAATTGCCTGAATTGTTGTGGGAATTTACTTCATTATCTGAAGCTCTGCTCTAAGGACAAGGCATCTCTGAACAGGCACCGATCTTCACTGTCTGCCTGAGCAAAGGTGCGAGAAATGGTGGTGGTGGGGAGACTGACTAAAGTTTGGGTTGGGAGCAGAGGGTGCCCCAAGAAGCACAAGGTAGAGCACTTCAGGCAGTCAAGTGTTTAAGACAAAAATACTCTTTGATGCTTTCAACAGCGTACCAGCCTCCACCCTTTCATAAGCTCTAGCTCAAGAGATGGCTGAGGAACTGGGAGCAGCCACATCGAGGCCCGCTCTGGGTTTTCCGGGGGCTGCGGCAGGCTAGCCCTGTGAGGAATGAATGAGCAGGACACGGAAGGAGTGCAGGAAGCACAGAAGAGAACATGGCTCATGCAGATATGTAAACGACTTAAAATGCCTTCCTGAATGTAAGTGGTATCTTTCACCCAGGAAGACGGCATCGTCTTATCTTTAAAAGTCCCAGGAATCCCGCTCTGGGTTTTGAAGGGAACAGGTCTTCCTGGCACAAAGAGCAATTTAAACCCGTGGCAAGATCTTGGGAATGGAGTACTAAGCAACACTGAGTCAGTACTACTCATGGAAATGTATTACGTCCCTGTTCTTAAAAATCTATGTCACACATGCTGAATGTAAGACATTGTTTTCAAACTGAACAGACTTCATACAGGGGGCTAAAGGAGGCCGCGAACTTGTCTCAATCACCACCCAAATTGCTTTCTAATCCAGCATTCAAAGCAGGGGGGCATCACATGATTCTACTTCAAGGCTGCAGGAACAGGAAACCCAAGCCCTCCACCCAGCTTGGTAGCAGAGAACCCTCTAAGTTGGAGTAAATGATAACTAAATTGCAAAGCATTTTGTACAAAGCAGGCGTGCTAGTCTAATCAGGAAAGCTTCTGATAATGCAGGTTGGAAGAGGAATTGGGGGAAGGCTGCATCACAGACCACTTTTAATATATTTCTGAGTTTGGCAAGCCAAACTGGCTTTGTCACATATTGGCAGCTTAAAAAGTATTTGGCTTTTACAACAGCCAAAATAAGTATTTTTTAATCACTTTCAACCTATGAACAGATGGGCAAACAGTGCTTTTATAAATGGAGCATACAAAATACTTCAATATCAGCCAAAACTAATTAGTAGAAATATCTGAACCAAATTCTAAAACTGATTTAGTGTTTAATATATATTATCATATAAGCATTAGCAGTTAAAAGGAAATTCCCCGTTCAAATGTTTGCCAAGCTCGGTGCCTGATGTTCAGACATGATTACTTACTAATTATTGCATCCTTTCTCCTATATCTTCCTTCTTAGTGATTTATTTTCTCACTAAAAACTATCTGATTTGATGCCCTGATCCTAGATTTGTCAAACTGCATGTGAAAAAGTCAAATTCAGCTATTTAGCTCTGGCCTTTCTCTCCTTCTTTCTTAGAGTGGCTTTCCTAGGACGTGACTTTTGCTTGAGGACACCCAGGGGGTGGGCTTGTCCATGGTGAAAACTGGTTTTATGTCTAACCTCTAATGACTCACATTTTTATCTTTTTTGATATGTATATTTTTTATTGGTTTCAAAGAGAAAGGGAAAGGGGGGGGGAGAGAGAGAGAGACAGAGAGAGACAGAGAGAGACAGAGAGACAGAGAGAGAGACAGAGAGAGAGAGAGAGAGAGAGAGAGAGAGAGAGAGAGAGAGAGAGAGAGAGAGAGAGAGGCATCAGGGATGAGAGAGAACCATTGAACCATTGATCGGCTAACTCCTGCATGGACCCCATTGGGGACTGAGTCTGCAACCCAGGCATGTGCCCTTGATCAGAATCAAACCCGGGACCTTTCAGTCCGCAGGCCATTGCTCTGTCCATTGAGAAAAATTGGTCAGGGGTCATGTTTTCATCTTCATAAAGATTTTCTAATAGTTTTATAGAGAATTTTTAATGACTAAGAATCTGTAAAAATAATAATTATCTCTATATCAGAATTATCTTAAGACATTGTAAAGAAAGACAAATTTAAAAAGTATATTTGGAAGATAATTCCTACTTATTGGTCTTTTAAGAGTCAAAATATGTTTTCCAAATCTCACCTACCAATAGTGTAAGCATCTTCTGTCTCTTTTTAACATCCTCAACATTTATAATATTCCTTGTTTGTTTGACATTCTATCAGGTGAGAATCCCTTAATCAATAAAAGAGAAACCAGGCTAGTTAACTTAGTGGCCATCATTTTCACATAAGTGAGTCCTTGTTCCTTAATAGCAGCCACTGTATCTAGTAAAATGACTTGTCTTTAATAAAGTATCTTTAGTATGGAATATGGATATACCGTAGGTTAGATTTTTTTTAATTATGTTAGAAAAAAGTATCGATCTTTATCAAAACTTTGTAAATAAACACTCATATAATAAATTAAATAAGGTGTTTTGTATATACTTAACTATTATGATACATTGTTTTGTAGATAACATAAATTAATATGTGCTTTTAATTTCTGTAAAATTATTTTCGATAATTTATTAACTTCTGACCAATATTAAAATTTTATTAGAATTTATTTTCTAGAGTTCTGAGTGGTTAGTTGAAACCATTTCCATACCTTTTAAAGGGTGTTTCAGTCTAGTTTATACAAGTAAAGAAAAAAAAATTGAATTTTATAGTTTCTCACAAAAGGAGATATTTCTCACATATTAATTAAAAATTAATGTTAATCATAATTTAATCTGTTTATGCAATTCTAGATGATTATGTTTTTCTTGGACATTGGATTAAGCAGACGTAAAGTTTTCTATTTCTGGAAAAAAAGAATTACAGCAGGTTCATGGTTATAATATCATTTTAAATTGAAAAACCTGTGGTCATGTCTTACTTCTACTATAAGGTATTAGAAAAAGTGCATTCTTAAAAAGGCTACCATTTTTTTTTTATATATATTATAGAAGACATAATTTTTGAACTGTAACCTGTATCAGGAGCTTTGGGCAAGTATGAGAAAGGCAGAAACTTCCTGTTAAAGATAAGACTAAATAGTGTAATATCATTTAGTGTATATGTAGTATATAACCAATAATATCAGAGTAGAGAGGAATGGGGCCCTCTACTGGAGGGCTATCCACAAGGTATTAGTCATTGAGCACCTTGAAATAAGAACATATTACCACAGTGCAGGCACTCACAAACCTCAAGTTAAAACAAACAAACAAACAAACAAACAAAAAAACTTATAAACTACTTGTCATGAATGTTAATACTTGACAGAGATAATTTATCTTTAAAATAAAAAAATCTAAAAATTAATTCGATATAAACATAAGTACATGTATCAGTTAAGCATTGCTCCAATAACATTACTAAATTTGGTGGCTTCAAATAACCATTATTATTCTCATGTGACAATTTTGATGATCTGGTTCAGACTCAGCTAATAGCACTCACTGGGTACAACCCACTTAAATTGCAAACAACTTGTCTCTTTTCCATGTGGTCTCTTATTTTTTGAGAGTTGCCCGTTTGTTCTCATGTAGATGTAGGGGTCTAAGAGATGGAATTGTGTTGTGTAAGGCCTCTTAACACATGCTAAGGATAATCACAGCATCACTTACATAGGATTCTATTGGTCAGACCAATTCACAAAGTCAGCCCAGATACATAGTTGGGTAAAATAGACGCTACCTCTTGATGGGTGGAGCTATAAAATCAAATTGCAAATATGTGGATCTAAGGAATCATCAATTGGCCATCATTGCAACCATTTCCCCAGTATGCTTCCAATATATTTATATTAATAATTAGAGGCCCGGTGCATGAAATCTGTGTATGGGTAGAGTCCCTAGGACTGGCCAGCAATCAGGGCTGATCAGGTTTCCCACATCCCAGCCTCCTCACCTCCCCCTTCCCTCATTCTCTCAGCACCCTGCCACCACCACTGGTCGCCTGCCACGTTCCACACAGCCCCCTGGTGGTCAGCGCACATCATAGCAAGCAATTGAACACCCAGTCTCCTGGTTGAACTCCTGAGGGGACAATTTGCATATTTGCCTTTTATTTTATAGGATATTTTAGTTGTTATATATTAAAGTTAAGGATGCAGAACTTTTCTTTGATCACTCACATCCTTTCCTAGATATTTTGGACTTATAAGACAGCTATTAAATATCATGATGAATGAAATAAAGCCATGGGGCATTGCAATAAGTTTAAGGATTCTGGGCTAATCAAGGAAATGATATGGCTGGGAAGTGGTACTAGCACATAACAGGCTTTATTTGGGCATCACATAGATAACTTTTCATGAGAGGGAAAGTCCCTCACAGCAAACTATCTAGAGATGATGGCACAGAGCCACCACCCAGAATGAGAAGAGAGTAGGAGAGAGAAGGGTCAGAGATGGGCTTGTATATTTAGGTGATGTCATTCAGTAGCATGATGGGGAGTTTCTGGTTAAGAAAATCCCAAAGGACACCCATGGTGTACAGTCTTTTCAATCCCAACATTTGTGTTACCTATGTCAACAGATGTTAGTTGTAGTTTGGTGGGATATGCAAAGCAGGCAGTCTCTAAATATGCTTATTTGGGCCATGTTTAAAATAATTGGATGTCCATCGATTTTGAGTTTAGAGCCAGCAGACTTCTGAGCTCGTGGTCCTAGTCTGACTTAAGAAGTAAACAACAAAGGGGCCAATATACAAGGGCTATCTTTGGTTAATTTATATAACAGCTGTGAGAAATATGCCTTGTCATTTCTAGCATCCCTCCTTTTAATAGTGAAGAAGAAAATCTTTGTACAGTCTTGCAACTACATGGCATACCCAAAAGATAGGTTAAAATGACATAACAGTTTGTTTTTTAATCTGGGGCTTGAATTTGGAGAAAACAATATTGGAAATAATTGTAAGAGTAGGCAAAATATGAGTCTTTTGAGTAAATAAAAAAAGTAACAGCCACAAGTAACAAAATATTTGTAATACCAGTTTTTGTAAAAAGTAGATCACACAGAAGAAAAAAGATTCATGAGCATGATAAAAGGAATATTTTGTGATATAAGGAACTTTTATGTTCTAGAAAACTATATTGAAGGGGCTGATATTTTCTTTGTTAAATTAAGAGCAGACTGTATTCAAAAATCTGTTCATCAATATAAGAGAAAGTAAATAAAATTTTAATTTTATGTTTTTTTTATATATCACCTATGTCATATTGTATAAACAATGATTAATAAGCACTTCTCTATTTTATAACTAAGATCATTACACCTGATCTGTCAAAATTTGGTATAATTTATAGCTTCTTTCAACCCATTGTTTGTTAATATAGTTCGCTTTTCATTAAATCTTCTATCAGTCACTAGAGGCCGAGTGCATGAAATTTGTTCATGGCAGGGGAGGGGTCCCTCAGACTGGCCTGTACCCTCTCCCTTCTGGGACCCAACTGGGACATCCTTCTTGCAATCCAGGACTGCTGGCTCCTAACTGCTCACCTGCCTGCCTGCCTGATTGCCCCTAACTGCCTCTGCTTGGTGGCCTGGTTGCCCCTTATCGGATACCCTGCCAACCTGGTTGCCCCAAACTGTCCCCTAACTGTCCAGAAGGAAGGCAGATGTCCTGTAAACCTGGTCTAATTATCATATTACCCTTTTATTAGTATAGATGCTTCAACCCCAAATGTCCCTTTTCTTTATTTTTAGCTTTTAATTATTTAGAAATGTACCATTGATCAAAATCCATATGTCTAAGGCCTAAGATAATGTTATTTTATTTTTCATTTATAAAAAAAAAACCCCACAAAATACATCCATCACTTGGTAAATGTGTTTGTATTTATAGTATTTTTACTTAATATAGTTTCATTTTTTAATATTCGGTATAGCTTTTAACCAAAACAATTAATTTCAATTCTCTCTCTCTCTCTCTCTCTCTCTCTCTCTCACACACACACACACACACACACACTCTTTTCCATAGATGACTAAGAACTCTGTGCCATTTATACTCAAGTAGACCAGAACTCTTGCGACCACTGCTGAAGATTCAAAAATAAACATCACACATCAATTTAGAATCTATCACACATATCACTTTAAGATTTATTTACACTTCGTTGTTAGAGAACATAACATTGAATATTAACTCGGCTCATTTGGGCATTTATATAATAACATTTCTCTTATCTATTCTCTGAGAAAAAAAGAAAAAGCCATGAACTCAGAATTCTTTAAATTTTATAATAGGTCTTGAAGTTCTGAACAAGCCAGAAATAATTATGTCCACTTCACCTCCATTCTGTTTATTTAATACATCAAAGCCCACTTGTAAAAATTGGTATATTAACCAAGCAAAAATCCTCTTAGAAATCAGAACATCTTCTTTTCTAAGCTATTCAATATCAATCCTATATAATAAAAGGGTAATATGCAAATTGACTGAATGGCGAAACTACTGGTCACTATATGTGCACTGACCATCAGGGGGCATATGTTTAATGCAGGCACTGTCCCCTGGTAGTCAGTGCGCTCCCACAGGGGGAGTGCAGCTCAGCCAGAAGCCAGGCTCATGGCTGGCATGCACAGCGGCAGTGGCGGGAGCCTCTCCCACCTCTGCTCTAGCCCTAAGGATGTCCGACAGATGGCTTAGGCCCACTCTCCCTGGGTAGTGGGCCTAAGCCATCAGTCGGAAATCCCACAAGTGCTCCCAGGGTATAAAAGGGCACAGGCTGGGCTGGTTCCTCTCCCCCCTATCCCCCGAGTGCATGAATTTTCATGCACTGGGTCTCTAGTCTTAATATAGACAGAAAACTCTCCTTCATTTTTCTTTTTTTCTGATAGTTTTGTCTATAATATTTAAATAAGATATGTCTCCAGAGAACAATATATATCTATATATTGTTTAATATATTTTTATTGACTTTTTAAAAAGAGAAAGGGAGAGGGATAGAGAGTTACAAACATTGATGAGAGGTAAACATCAATCAGCTGCTTCCTGCACATTCCCTACTGGGTATGTGCTTGCATCCAAGGTATGTGCCCTTGTCTAGAATTGAACTTGGGACCCTTTAGTCCACAGGCCGGCGCTCTATGCACTGAGCCAAACCAGTTAGGGCCAAAATATATTTTTTACTCATTAATCTACAGAAGTTTTTTTTTTTGTTTGTTTGTTTTTTTTTAGAGAGAGAGAGAGAGAATGATGGGAAGAAGTCATAGATACAAAAGAGTTACATTTACTAGAAACTGTACAAGGCAAGAACAAGGACATTTTTCATTTATATATACAAGCACAAAGAAACCAACAGTCTAAATACTACATCTTTAGCAATAGGTTCAACATCATATGGAATACAATTTTTAGTGCCTGAGCAATGTCACTACTTGGGAGTAGGAAGGTTAAGCAGACAAAAAGGATCTCCAAGAAATGCTTATTAGGAATATCTCATGACTTGCAACTGACATCATTATAGTGAGCCCAAAATTATTTCTTGAATGTTTTTAGCTATACTGGTATTCAAACAACATGATACAGGGTATTTCTGAACATGCCACAAACTGCAAGGCAAACCAACTGAAAAGATAATGAAAAAGACTGATGTGGGATTCCCTGAAATATATTGCCCAAAAGAGACTAGATGAGTCAAACCATCAAAATCAGACCTTCAACATTTCTGTCACTAAGTGAAGAAAAATAATGGCTTTGTATAAAACCGAACAAGATGCATTAAGAATCAGCTTAATGAAGATATCAAAACAGACTCAGAGGGGGAGAAAAAAGCAGAAACAGAGTCAGTGCCTTTCACTGTGGGGATTATGAAAGTTGGACCTGGGACTCGGAAGTCTCTAGGCAGTGCACTTTAGGGCAAGCCTCAGCTCTGGTGAAGTTCACCAGGCAGTCTCATTGGAACATCAGCTGTGACAAGTTGCAGAATCAAAAGCAATTAAAAAGAATAATAAAAAAAAATCCTTTTGTATTTACATTACAATGAAACTGGACTTTGGAAGACATTGAAAAACTGACTGCTATATAAAAAAAATTCAACAGATATACAAAAGAAAAATGAAGGTGCAGGAATACTAAAGTTACAGAGTGAGCATCTGTGAAAGAAAGACAGCAGTTTTTTTCATATGTTCTTGTCACTGCAGGGACTGTCAATATCAGTACTGCAGGGCTTGACCTCGTTTCCAGTATGATCCCTCACTTCTTCGATCCTATAGTCTGTGACCCTACCAATACCACTCAATTGGTGGTATTTGGAAAATGAAATTAATTTTCAGAAGGTTGCTAAGTAGAGTAGCACTACCATATCAATATGAAGTATTCTTTAGCTTAATAGCTTCTGGGACAGTATAATTATTTTGACTAACTTGTCTCGTCGTACGAAAATACTATTTCCCTTGGATTCTATTTATCTCTTTTGAATAGTTGTGAATAAGCTTTGAGAAACTCACTTTATTTTGAGTTTTCTTTTTCCAGAAGATTAATTTTATACAAGCTATATTGATTCTGGCGCGTTCACTAACCCATTGACAGGTTTAAGCAATGTGTATAAATTCTGTGTACACCTCACATGACGTGTTTCTTATTTCAATACACTTACCAGTGAAATGAATTTAAGACTTTTCAAAAGTGTTTTTTTTTTAACTAACTCTAATAAAACATTTTGTATTTTATTTTTAGGGCACCTACTAGTATAAGTAAAACCAGTAAACTTGACAGCAAAGTTAAGAGAATTGGACCACACATAGAAATTTTCCAAGTATTCCGGGAAAGGACCAAATCTATAATCACCAAAAAAATGATTAAAATGCTCACCGTCATGCAGGCTTATGTCAGAGGATGGCTAGAACGCAGAAGATACCAGAGATTATTGACCAAGGTAAAGCATATGTTAAATATCATGAGGTGTTTATAATATATCTAATGTAGATTCAAGTAAGGAAAATTTTGAGTAATCATCTGGTCAATAAATGCATGATTTTTTTAATAATGTTCCATCTGCCTTTTTTGGATTAAGAAAATGTTATGAATAATCTACTTTACTGATTGTGTCAAGCTGGAGACTCTGAACAAAAGTTCTGGCTTATCTTTAACCAAAAAGCAGTTCTGGGACTACTTTTACTTTAAAGCCACCAATTTGCACTAATTTTGTTTCTCCCTTGCTATCCATTTATTCTCTGTGAGCATATGGATGGTGAGTGTGAGCGTTTGTTGAAATTAACTTTCTATAGAAAGTGGCAGAGAGATGACTAGTAAAACGCAGATGAATTTGCAGCCCACTTTAAGAACCCAGGCCGAAGTTGACGTGGTGCTATTCCTCCTGCTTGTATAATTATCTTTAGTAATTATGAAAAGTAAGACAGAGAGAGTATGTCTTGTCTAAAGTTACACATCTAGCTAGTGTCAAACTCAAATTTTGAGAATCAAACAGACCTAAGTTGACATGGCTCCAGAAATTTAAAAATATTAGACATTCTAGTATCAATAGTAGCCAATAATCATTGCAAAATGGTGGATTCTTTTTTTCAAATCAAGCTCAACATGGGCATTGAATTGTCCTGTCAAAATCTGAGGCCAGTCCTGGATAGTGTGGCTCAGTTGATTCAGGGTAGTCCCATGCACTAAGAAGACACCAATATGAATCTTGTTCAGAACACATGCTCGGGTTACAGGCTCGATCCCACATTGGTGCTGTGCAGGAGGCAGCCAATCGATGTTTCTCTCTCTCAGCCTCTCCTCCCCTCTCTCTCAAAACAATAAAAACATGTACTTTTTTAAAAAGCTGAGGCTAGATTAAACTCTTTTCTGACCCTATAGATCTAACTGGGGTATGCTCACCTCAGGGAGCCGACATGGAGATCACCACAGGTGCATTCATGTAGAGGCACCAATTCCATGGCCATCAGGAGTGACTGCATAGGTTTTACAATGTGCATTGGAAGAAAATAAGATTCAGTGACACAGATGATCAAAAATGTGTAGTTAGTCTTTATACTAATAAATTAGATAAGGAATGATTGAGTATGTGCTTCAGAAAGTAATAAAAGTCATCAGTCTGACCATGATTAGGGGGCACATAGAAGAGGCCTGAAAAACAAAACAAACAAACAAAAAACAAACAAAAAAAAAAAAACAGGAGAGAGACATGTCCTGTAGCTACATTGTGGCTAAGGGCTTCACTAATTCTTCTGTGGGCGGGGAAGTAAATAAAAAATAATCTGTAATGGTATTTATGTTTTGCATAATTATTAAATGTGTGTTTATGTGTATGCACTTAAGATTACTACTCAAAATATTTTATTTCATTGTATATAGGTTTAGTCACTTTAAAACCTTTTCCTTTCTGTTTTTTTTTTTGTTTTTTTTTATAAGGTTTTGGATAAAGATCCTTTGGGAAATTGTCTTACATATTTGTTTAGATAAGTGTAGACTTCAATCAATGAGTATGGTCAAGATATCTACTTATAGGTCAATAACATTTTTAAAGAAGTTAAACTGTGGGGAAATATTTGCTGAAATATTGCACAAGGGTTATATGCAAACATCTATCTTACACACTGATAAAAACCATCGTAATAATACAATAGAAAAAAATAGGCAGAACACATGACACTACTTTATAGCAGGAGAAACATAAGTGGCTAATAAACATAGAAAGGGGCTATTGTTGCTAGAAAATAAAATAAATGAAATCCCACTGAGTGTTATATGGTAATGGAATCCTCTAAATAAGCAAGTCATTCTTTACATATTTTTAAACAGACAAAAGGCAGGCTGAAAATACCTACTGTAAAACATTTTATTTTTTATTTTTCATGTTGTAGTGTGATAAGGATGATATATTTACCCTTTAATCCCTGTTAGTAAAAACTACTAACAGGGATTAGAAAAAATTCTAATCAGTAATTTCCAAGGAGACTTTTCTATTTCAATATTGCTGTTACAGATTTCAAGTATTTTAGATAATTTATGACTTGGGAAATGCATGGAAATATAAATATTTTATCCTGAGGTGTCTACAACATCATAGCTGAGGCATATTTCCATGCAGAAGCCTGACAGAGAGGCATGCTAGAATAAGAACCACAGCTTCTTAACCATAAACACCCCCTGCCTAATCTTCCGAATGCCTCAGATCTGAGAAGGTTTTCCTCATAAAATAAGTTATGTACCCCAAAGAATATTTGTTAAATTCAGAGGGGAAGATGCTAAAATTGGCTTTGGTGTCTGTCCAAAGCTCCTGCTCTCTCTGCAAATGGCATCATCTGTCTAAGCAGCACACTCCAAGCTGGGACCTTTTGGCTCCTGTTCTAATTTAAAACATTGCTTGATTCTCAATTATAACCAAAAGAAACCTAGTGACAGCTTTAAGCAGGAAGATAATTGAGAAGGATATTGGGCAGAGGACTGAGAACTAACCTCAGAAATAAGATCTAATGCATGTAGCTCCCAGGGCTCCAGCCAAACCCTGAATAGAAAGAGCCTGATGTAGATACTGAATCTGAGGTATTCTGGCCTCCACAAATCCTGCCCTTGGAAAATGGATATTGCAGCCATGGTTGCTCTACTACACAAATAGACTTCCCACTATTTTGCTTTTAAAAGCATTATTCATTTTGATTCAAAATGTGCATTTGGTGTAGATAATGGATGAAGTTTCATCACGTGTCTGCATCCTAGCAACAGAGCAAGCTTGGGTCATGAGCATCTGATTTGTAGCTTCCAACTGTAGGAGGTTTTTGCCTTCCACTAAGATTCATAGGGTGGGGAATATTCCAATAATGTCTGACAAATTATTATTAATTTTTTAATGAATGTGTTGAACAAAAGGCAGATTAAAATAAACATAGAAAATGTTATTATGAGTTGAAAGACATTAGCAAACATGAAGGATCTGCCTGGATTCTGTTGGCATTCAGATGGAAGGAAAAAGGAGAAGAGGAAAGTGGTGACATGCCAATTATTTTTTTCATTCAAGCAAATTAAGCATATTTCATTGATACTATTGCTAACTAGTCGGTTGAGCCTAACATTTAAAATTTTCCGAGAAGAATCACAAAATTAAGCAAAGGTAAAAAAAATAAAATTATAAAAATAACCTTAAAGAATCACATGGAACAAAATAAATGACAAAAGCAGGAACAAGCATAAGTGTTATAAAAAGAAATATACTAGGAAAGAAGTTAGAACAAAAGTTCACAGAATGGGTAAGGCATACTAAGTATAAGTAAATTATGAGGAATATAGTGTATAATTAAAACTGTGGGCTTTTTTAATTAGTTTCATTTCAAAACTAATTCTGCAACTTACCAGCTATGGGACCTTAGGAAAGTTATTTAAAGATTTTATACTTCAGTTTTATTCACTTGTAAAATGGTATGCAAAACACATCAAAGGAAAGCTGACTCAGGGAAATTCATGACCTTTAAATACATTCTTACAAAATAGTGAAAATCAAAGTTTAGAACAGAGAAAATAGGCTAAAAGGGGAATTGATGATACGTAGAAAAATTAATGAGCTAGAAAATGTGAAAATAACTGCATTGATAAATAAAAATGGAACTGGTTACTTAGAAAAAATTCCTAAAATAAATGAATATTTTATTTTTTTAAAGTATTAGTGTAGAAAGTTAATATGCAGAAAAATATAGTCACAGATGAAAGATAAACTAAAGATAATTTGCACATATGCTAAAAAGAGATACTTTTTAAAATGGAGTTTTTAGATATCAGCATGAATAATCTGAAAAAAGTCCCGTGAAAACTAGGTAAAAGACATGAATATACAGTTTTTAAAAGGAAGAAATACAAGAATTTGAGGACCAGAGTGTATAACTTCGGTAAAAATTGTTCATTACAGAATAATGCTTTAATAAAACTTTAATAGTAGCCTCATAGGGTGATGTCCAAATTTCTTCTTCTGGCTGCGTAGGCTACATATTATAGAAATTTGGACATCACCCTATGAGGCTACTATTAAAGTATCCATCACTGAAATCTCTATTCTGTGGGAAGTACAAAAATATGAAAACAAATTCAATGAAATTCTGTGAACTTCAGAGATTACCTCACTGTATAATACATGTATTTAACCAACATAGGCAAGAAACAATAAATGCATCTGTAAGCTAAGAAACTGAGTGAAATGAAAGAGACAAATTCAAATATATATATATATATATATATATATATATATATATATATATATATATATATATAAAAGGCTAATATGCTAAGTGTCTGACTGACCAGTCACTGATTGATGTGCACTGACCACCAGGGGCAAATGCTCAATGCAGGAGCTACTGTGATGTGCACTGGCTATTTACAGAAAAATCGCATTGTAGACCTGGCACTCACAAAGCAATACTTGACTTCCCTCAAGTGGAACGCAGGCCCCGCCACCACCCCAGAGCAACAGCCCACCAAATTGCAGCTGATGCTGTGGAGACCCCATAGCATGAAATGAGGCCCACAATACAGCCCAGCCCAGAAATGGTTGCTGTGGATGCTGGGTAATGATGTCACGTAGCAATGCCAGGCTTCCTCTCCCTATCAATGACTAGCTTTCTTGTAGTTTCTTCAGCCCAGGAACACGATTTGCTTTATAGCGAGGTTCAAACATTTCACCAAATGTCTGTGAAGCATTTTTCCATGCCTCATCTCATTTGATCCTCACAGGAGTCCTGGAGTAGATAGGAGACTGGTGGAATCCTATTTTCTTTTTATTAGCTAGAAAACAGATATTTAGAAACCTTTGAAACTTGACCTGACTGAAAAGAAGTAAGAACTGGTGGACCTTGAAAATGACTTCAGGTTTTCTCAGTGTGCAGAGTATAGTCAAGCACTGCTTCAGTTAAATATTTTACCCTTTGTTCTCCCTACGTGGTCTACAAAATAATCTGCTTTGCATTGATATTTATTGCTCTGTTGCTGACAATTACATGAAAGAGAATTTGGAGTGCTTCACTGGGCTGGAAAAAATTTAGTTAAATCAGAAAGCAGGTCTAATTAAGTAAGTTTATCTCTATATAAAGCTCTTGCTGGCGCCAATCACGCGCATATGTTTCCATCTGTCATTGTCCATTGTGAATTTGATTGATATTTCTAATATAGAGAAAGAGTGAATAGCAATATTAAAATATTTCTTCTAATTAATTTCCTTTCAATGTGTACGAGTTCATGCACCAGGCCACTAGTTAAATATAAGTAGCAGAAATATATAAGGATCTTGCAGAAACAGGTTTGGCTGAGTGGATAGAGCATCGGCCTGCGGAATGAAAGGTCCCTGTTTCAATTCTGGTCAGGGGCATGTACCTTGGTTGTGGGCATGATCCCAGTAGGGGGCGTGCAGGAGGCAGCTGATTGATGTTTCTCTCTCATCAATATTTCTAACTCTCTATCCCTCTCTCTTCCTCTCTCTGAAAAATCAATAAAATATATTTTAAAAAAAGAAATATATAAGGATCTTTACTGGTCTTGTTATTTTATAGGCTATGTATCATGGACCAAGTTTGAGAGCAGTTATAAACATGTATCACAGACTAATCTATCGTATTAAACATCGACTTGGTCTTTGGAGGACAAGACAAATTACAGATTTTGCAGAGCTAGAAGAATGGATGGATAGAAAAAAATGTAAGTAATGAAGCTATTTCTGAGTAATACTCTTTTATGGATAATAATTTTATATTCCATAGTCTAGTATGAATGTACAGATATATTAATCTTTATTAAAATAGTACCTTACAGTTATTACACTGACTTCTTTTCCACTCACTTTATGTTTAGCTACTGACTTCAAAATAACATATTCTTTATCTAAAAGCCCCCACTAATTTTACTCTGTCTTACCTTTATTCCTTCAAATTTTTCACTAAACTCATTTTTAATTTTATAGTGTTGCTCATTTTTCTTCATTTTACTTACTTTCCATTATTTCTCCTCCTTGACTTATAACTGCAGATTATACTATTTTTTTTTTTTTTGCATCTAAATATAACCTTTTCAATTTGAGTGGGGGGGGGGGAGACTACACATAAAAAAAACAAATGTGGTTATGTTTTCCAATCGGGACTCTGGTAGTTTCTAGCTGAGAATTTGGGAAACATCTTAAAGAAAATGATGGAGAAAAAAATGCTCCTGGCAGAGGGAGAAGAAGGATAAAGACTGGAAGTTGGGTGCAGTTACTGTGGGATGAAGCCAGGGGACTAATGGATAGAGTTTGTGAGCCAGAGCAGAGCAAACTGAAACTGGAGAGGTAGTAGGGAGTGGGACACAGGTTGTATCAGGCTTTATAGACCCCTGGATTTTACCTTGACTGAGTAGTGAACCAAGGACTGTGGTGCAGTTTATATCTGCACACATCACCCTGGAGGATTTTTTGAGGATAGGTTGACATGAGGCAAGGATGTCAAGAAGTCAAGTTGACATCAAGGGTGCTCTGTCCAGCATAGGATCTAAACAATACAAGAACGTTAGCTGAAGGAATGATTCCAAGGCATCCATTTGCATTGAGGTCTAAAGTAACTCAAAGAGTCCATAGAATTTTCAAGTTGTCACCTGTCTTCATGTTCTTTAGAAAATTCTCCATTCTTTCCATATTCTGGTTGCCAGTTATTTGATATCTGACAGATGGCCAAGCACCTTTTAAGTATCTTTTAGTGACCAGAAAATTTCATTAATTGTCATGATTTAAGTTTTATATGGACCCTAATTTCACCTATGTGGAATATTAATTCTGCTAGTATGTTGACAAATGTTTGTTTTGAGGGCCTAATTCCAGGTTAAAGACATCATTCTCTATGAATAGAATTAAAAACCATAATGTTAATATGTGCATCAGTCTGACCTAGTGTGAGACATATAAAATGGATTAATACAAGGAAAAACTAATAAAGGCATATGTACCTCAAGGAGAAATATATTTACTTTAACATAAAAATAAAAAGTGATGTTCTTTGTGTTAGTTTGGCTTTCTCTAGAATCAGACCCTGAGACAAGAATTCAAGTACAACAAACTTATTTGTGAGTTGATTCCAGGAAATACTGTTAGTAGAATGGGGAGGTGAGACAGGGAAGGGATGGAAGTTAAAAAAAAAAAAAAAAGACTTTCAGTAAGCAGATTATCATGCGGGCAACTGGAGCTTAATTCCTCTAGAGAACAGTGCAGCCAACTTGCCTCACCTACGGGGTCTTTGTCCATCAACTACTCCAGTCAGTGGTTGTGGGGCTGCTCCAGTGAGAAGCTGTTTCCTGGAACTTCTGGCTTGCTCCTCAGGTGGGCAGAGCAGAGTCCAGCAGCCAGAGGGAGCCCTTAGGCCATGAAGTACAGATGCTGGCAATTAAAAGTCAGGTCTGCATGCACAGAAATGTCAGGCACAAGGCTATATGGAATGAAGCATCAATAGCAACTGCTCTAGTTAGCTTATTTGAAATGAGAGAAAAAGTCATAGATATACCAACTATGAACTTGCTGCTGTGATTCAGGATCTGCAATAGCTACTCATTTAGGCAATCACTAAATACTGCTTGAATTTGTCAATGTCTCATGACTGTCCACCTCAAATGAATGAATGAATGTACAGAAAGTTGAAGTCCATATGTTGAGTGCCAAGATGACACATTAACTTTTGTTAGAAACCTCTCTGATACCTTTGTCATCCAGGCATCCAGAGTGCATATTTTCAGAGCTAAACCTACACTGAGTCAAAACCCATCATCCTGTAAACGCTAGTTAACAATTAGCTTCTTGGGCTAATCCAGAAACCTAAGAATAGAGTCTCACTATCACCATTTCGAAAAGAAAAATAAAATGTTTATGGAAAACCACATTTACAAAATGTATGTGTCAATTCTCTTGGTCCTTATCTAACCCCTGAATCATGCCATGTATGGGAGATAGGTGAGTGGTTTTCTGTGGTAGGCCTGAACCAGCAATAGCCAAATACCTTAAACTAGGAAGTAAGAATACAGGAAGTGAGCAAAAAAGTACACATCATTCCACTTAGGGGCCAAATCAGAAGTAGAATATCAGTTCAAAGAAGAATTAGAAATTAAAATAGTTAGAATGTGTAGAAGTAAAAAAAAAAAAAAAAAAAAAAAAAAAGTGAAAAAAATCAGGGGACCTAATAAGCAATGACTACTGAAGTGAGTCAGCAGAAGTCAGCCCTTTCCTTTCCCCTCCCCCTCCCAGAAATACTGACCTAGAAGCTGTGTCTTATGATAAAGTTTGAGCATTCATCTATGTAGGGTCTGTAGACAACTGTCATGTAAACCAGGCCAAAGGACACCAGTGTTCTCTTGGGGAAGCAAATCCAAAATTATCTTCCTTCTAACCGTCTGTAGGAAGTTGACACAGTATTTCTCTAAGTATGGAGGCTTAGCACTACACATACTACAAATAAAAGTGGGGTTAAATTTCCTTCAAATCCAGATGAAACTTTTAGGTGGTTTGTAATTGATATATTACTTGTAAAGAAAATATTTTCTTCGATCTCCCCCCACCCCTCTTTTTTAGTCTATGAAACAATGTTTGCTAAGAGAGAAGATTGGCAAGGATTAGAAAGAAGTGAGCTCCTTAAGTTCTTCAGTGACTGTGGTCATTACCCAACAATGCAGCAAACTGAGCAGGTTTGGGACCTGGTCCATACAGGCAAGTAGTTTCTCCATTGTCCACCCTGCCTCCCCCCCCCACCCCCCTGCTCCCCACAGCCCCCTCTTTTCTTTGTCTTTTCTCTTTTTTTCTTTTTGTCTATCTCCTCCCTTGTTCTTTTCTCCCTTCCCTCTTTTATTAAACTTATACATCATTTTTCTCAAACTTATTTTTTATCTGATTTTAATATATATATGAAAAAACAGATTTAAAGTTTAAAAGACGTTCATACAATGAACTTTCTTGGGTGGACGGAAGAGGTGAATTTTGCTCTTTAAGCTTTTAATATATTTTTTTGCTATAAGCTACATCTGAGTGTATTTTAAACCACTGTATTTTAAATAATGATGCTAATAAGCTTTCTCATAGATAGTTATAGTTGGTACCAATGAACATAAATGTTTAAACAGTGTAAACTATTTCAATATCATAGTTTTTATAGTATTATAATATCAATATAATAGTTCAACGTAATAGAATTTTATAGTTAAGAAATAAATAAATGAACAGATTGTGTTGTATGAGACTAAGTGGAGTGACATTTCTCCCTTCTCTACTAGCAAACAGTAGTAATGGGGTATAAAATTGTCATTGAGATGTGAAAAACACTATGAATTTTCCTTAACTCCTTGAGATAATTCTCAACTTTTCTTTCTCTGTTCATACTAATGATATGGCTTGCTACCACAGTTAGAGAGGATGCATAGAGGTACCCACAATTTAATTGAGGAGGGGAAAAAGGTAAACAAAGGTATCATGATCTTTTTAAAAGGAAGAATAGGGCTCACATGCTCGTAGGAAGGTGTGATTCAGGTCAGAGTGACAAGGCTGAAGACGCATTAGAGGGTTGAAGTTCTCTTCTTTCATTGGTTCTTAGTGTAAATTTACCTAATACTTTACCTATGGACTTTGCTTGGCCGTTCTGTATCCCTCGGATGTAGAATGCTTTTCTAGACTCTTAATGAACATTTGTTCACAGACGAGCATAAGCATCCAAATCACTTTGTGCTTCAGTGGTCATGATTAGGTGGTTTGTTCAAGTAATTTTTTTTCCTGGTGATAAAGACATTGCATGTTTATTATAGAAAATTTGTGATACGAAAACATAAAATTGCTAAGAAATAGCAATTCCTGACAGTTGAAGTCTAACCATATTTTTCCGTGCATAAGACATTGTTTTATGAAAATAGAGATTATTTTTTAGGTGTTTGAAAATCTGTCCTTTTTTTGCTTAGAAATACTCATAAGTTTCCAAGCTATAAATGCCTTATAATAATCTGTCATATGGATCATCTATAATGTATTTACTGTTGTATATTTAAACTATTATATTTCTATTTTATAATGAATAATAATAAAATGAAAAAATTAAATATAGCAAAATTGAATTAAGCATTTTAGAAACATACTGATTATTGTTAGTAATTGAAATACAAGCTTTTCTTTTTAAATTAAGTTTTATAGATATATTTTCTCTGCTTGTTATTTGGGAGTATATCATAAAGGCTTAGATCTGGAGCATGGCTCTGAAATTAGCTTTCCTGGGTTTAATTCCTGGCTCCACCGCTTACTAGTTGTATGTCTTTGGATAATTTATCTTTGATAAGCCTTATTTTGCTCAACAATAAAAGGAAGGTAATACTATCTAAGTCATTGGGCTGTTGAGTGGTTTAAATAAAATAATTCATGGGAAATGTGTTTTCTATTATAAGTGCTCAATAAATCTTTGCTACTGTTATTCTTAAATAATTTTAACTATACTTAATTAAAATAAATTTTAATAACATTTTGAAGGTGTTAAAAATATTGAACCTAATTATATAATGACTCATTTAAAAATGTTTTTATTGGTTGCATAGAAAGGAAGGGAGAGGGAGAAAGAAATAGAAATATTAATGATGAGAGAGAATTATGGATCAGCTGCCTCCTGCACCCCCCCCCCCCCCCCCCCCCCCCCCACACACACACACTGGGAGATAAAGCCTGCACCCAGGCATGTACCTTGACTGGAAATCAAACCACAATTTTCTGGTTCATGGACAGATGCTCAACCACTAAGTCACATAGGCTGGGCTATAATGACTCATTTTTATAAAGGTTATTTATTAAATGTCATCTATTGATTCACACCCATGTCATCTCTTTTTACTATCATAATGACCTGTAGAGGAGTAGATACACTCATTCATTTATGCTCATTTTTACAAATGAGAGAACTGAGACTTAGAAAGAGACTTTTATAAGCTCATTAATAGAGCTGAAACTTTTTCCTGGTCTCTTCAAGTGAAGTTCAGTGCTCTTTCCATTTCACTATGGGAGATACTTTAAAAGTCAATGTTATGAAAAATGAACGTTTATAGGATTTTTTACAGCAAGTACTCCTGATATTTTGTAACTAGCTTAAGGCCTTGAACTATAGTAGGTTTTCTGTGAATGATTGAGTCAATCAAATTGCTCATAAAAACTAAAATTTTCAAAAGAAAACTTAGTTTAAAATCATATAGTTTTATTATAATGCCTAAATTTGGGAATCAAAGCTTTCCAAATTTAGGCATTATAATAAAACTATATGATTTTATCATTTTAAATATATGTCCAATTTTGTTGTTCCAACCAGTTAGAAAAAATATTTTGGTGCATAGAAAACTTCATTTAAAATGATAATATTCTAAATAATGGAAAGAAAAAAATTATGGAAAATGGAGTTAAATTAATGGTGGTTTTGCTTTTTTTTTTTTTACTTGTTTCTGGAATATATTCCATTTTTAAGAGAATCTGATTTTATGCATTTTAGGTTGTCACTCATCTTCATTCATAATGACTTCTTTGATTATGATAATAGTTCCAGATGTGCAACCTACGCATTTTTTCATTCAGTAGAATATTTCATCTAATGCATATGTAGTTAATTCTATTGATTAACTTCTTCAGTGATGACACCAAGTAGGTCAAATTTCTAAAATTGCATGTATGTGTTCAGGCATTTTTAGTCTTTTTAAAATTCTTTATTCTTATCACTATGGTAACAAAAAGAATTTGTGACTGGGGACATGATTTTCATCTGAAAATCTTCTTGTGGAAGAATAAAACTTTAGGCTGCATGTAAAGGCTGATCTTAAAAGTTGGAAGTTATGCAAACGTGAGCATTTTTACTTGACATTCATTTAATGAATGAAACTGATAACAATAGAATAGCATATCTGAAGGTATGGAAAATAACATATTGTTGTTCTAATTTTGTAGTATGTAAATAGAACTTATAGTTTATTTTCTGAGTTACAGTGAACAGAAAACAATCATGAAGAGAAGTCTGTTTTGACTATGCAACCCTAGATAAAAACAAACAAACCAAAAAATCCCACAAAATTTAAAAAACACATAAAGTACCTGATGTATTATATACACTGAGTGGCCAGGTTATTATGATCTCTGAACACATAATAATCTTGCCACTCATATGTTAATGGCCCAGTACATGAATTTGTGGATGTGTAGTGTCAGGCCAGCCTGGCCAGAGAAAGGGGACATGGGCATTTGGCTGGCCTGCCTGCTGTTTGAATTCCTGGTTGAGGGGACAATTTACATATTAGCCTTTTATTACATAGGATATACACTGAGTGGCAAGATTATTATGCATTCAGAGATCATGATAATCTGGGCACTCAGTGTATATAGTAGAGGCCTGGTGCATAAATTTGTGCGCTAGTGCAATCCCTTGTCCTGGCCTGCAGGATTGGGCCAGAACCGGCTTCTCCTACATCCCGAAGGAGTCCTGAATTATGAGAGGGTGAAGGCAAGGCCAAGGGACCCCATCGGTGCATGATTGGGGCCAGGGAGGGATAGTTGGCCAGCTGGGGAGGGACTGCAGGAGGACTCAAGAGCATGTCTGGATCATCTTGCTCAGTCCTGATCAGCTGAACCCCAGCAGCAAGCTAACCTACCAGTCAGAGCATCTGTTCCTGGTGGTCAGTGCACATTATAACAACTGGTCGACTGATCAATTGTCTAACCCCTGGTGGTCAGTGCACATCATAGCGAGCGGTTGAGCAGCCTTAGCATATCATTAGTATATTATGCTTTGACTGGTTGAATGGATGACGGGAAGACCAGACACATAACATATTAGGCTTTTATTATATAGGATGAAGAAACTGGCCTGAGATGGACTGTGAATTATTTTATACTCCCTGACTAATTAGTGGCAGACCTACTGTATTTAGGCCTCCTGCTCTTGGGAGCATACTTTTTTTTTAACCACAGACAACACTGCATTTTCTACTGCATTCTCATGATGTAGCTTTATGTTATTAATGGGAAGCATATCATGATTTTCCCTTAATTTAAAAAATATGAACAGGTACTTTAACAATAAAATTTTAATTATGCAGGTAAAAGATTAAAGAGGATTTTTAAAAAAAATAGTATTCCAGGGTATAAGAAATATGAGACATCAGGAAATTCTAATGGTAAATAATAAAGTATTAGAGGTAACCTATTATAAAAGCCTTATTTTAAATAACTTCTAATAAAATTAACACCTTTTTACTATAAAAATTTTGAAAATACACACTAAAAACAAAAGAAGAAATGAAAAACACTGGCAATTTGATTTTCCTTAATGACATGAGGTAACTGATTAGGGGCCAACCAAAACTGATAGCCAGGTCTTCTAAGGATCTTTTAGTGCCACCATTAACATTTGGAGGAAGTCTCTGATTATCTGTTTCCTTTTTTAATTATGCAGATGTAATAAAAATGTGGTCACTCTCTATAGTTATGATGATGCTACAAATATCAGTCCATGAATTCACTGGAGGTGCTTTTTTTTCTAGCTTTCATCTTCCAACATTTAATTTCAGTTCATTTGGATTTCATTCTCTTGCTTTTATGACTGTGGCTAAGTAAGGATGGGGAAATTTATATAATGACATAGTATGTGAAGTGTCCACTTCATCTGCAATATCACCTGTTAACATAGTTATTTCCTAGTATATGCTTGC